AACTTAAAATATTTTGTCTAAATACAGATTTAGCAACACATTTCATATGCTCTAAAACAGGCTACTCAACACGCGGGTCCCGTGTGGCCCACGGCCTATTTGTTTGTGGCCCGCAGTGCGGTTTGGGTTTACGCGGGGCTCAACACATGGCCTCCACAGGGAACACGCTCCACAACAGTGAGGCATCTCCCAGCAAGGGTGAGCACTGAAAGACGCAAGCGGACAGGCTGTCTGGAACAGATGGGTACAGGGTGTCAGCATTTCTACCCTGAGGGAGGAGGTCCTGGGAGTGCCAGGGCATTGTGGGAAGTGCTGGCTGCTTAGCCTTGTGGGCAGAGTCTGAGAGCTGCTGACTGGCTTACACTGGCTATATTTGGGTCTGCCACTGCAGCTTAATCTTTGTATTCAGGCCAGTCGGTGTGAAAAATGCTATTTGCATATATATATTTGCATGTATATGCAACCACACTTAAGTTGCAGCTCTCGGCATGTGCTGTGAGTATCATTGTAGCTCCTGGGGCTTCCAAAGTTGAGTAGTCCTGCTCTGGAATTAAGAGTACTAATATATATATATATATAGCAAAAACCATGGTAATACTGAGTTATGGTTGCTTAATGGTATGGCATACCCTTGCAGAATTCTGAGTTGAGCAAAACTCAATGCTCTGAAAACTAGGAAATTCATAGTTGAGGGTGCCCACACAAACTTAACTCTGGCCTCTTTCAGCAGTACTTCAACATGTCCCGTTGACACACATCTATCCTGCCAACCTCACAGTTCATTAAATGTATAAGGTCTTTGCCTCCTTTTAGAATCCATTCATACTCATAGAATCATAGAATACTACAACTGGAAGGGACCTCCAGAGATCATCAAGTCCAGATCCCTGCCCTCATGAAAGGACCAACTGCCATATAGATCATCCCTGCTAGATGTTTATCTAATCTGCTTGTAAATATCTCCTGTGATGAAGATTCTACAACCTTCCTAGGCAATTTATTCTGGTATTTCACCACCCTGACAGATAGAAAATGTTTCCTAATGTCCAACTGAAACCTCCCTTGCTACAGTTTAAGCCCATTGCTTCTTGTCCTATCCTTAGAGGCCAAGGAGAACAATTTCCCTCCTCCCTGTGATCCCCTTTTAGATACTCACCTACAGGATTTCCTCTAAATCTACTAAAGAACAAAAATAGAAGAGTTGTCCCCTTCACTTTCCCTTTGCTAAATTAATTGGATTGAGCTTACAGAGTCTACAACTACAAGGTACAGTTTCTAACCTTTAACCATTCTCATGGCTCTTCTCTGAACCCTCTCCATCCAGTTTATCAACATTCTTCTTGAATTATGGACACCAGAACTACCCACAGTATTCCAGCAGTCATCACACCCACATGAAATTCCTTGGTGTATTTATCCAAAGATTGTACTAGTCACTTTGGACACAGCTTTGGACTTGCAACTTATGTTCAGCTGATTATCTGCCATGAATAAACAACTTTTTTTCCCAGTTACTGCTTATTGGACTGAATCTCCCATACTGCAAATATGGCCTATATCTTTGTTCTTAGATGTTCCTAGATTTACATTTAACCATATTAAAATGCATATTGTTTGCTTGTCTCTAACTTACCAAATGATTTATATTGCTCTTTATCAGTAACCTGTCATCTTTGTTATTTACAGATTGATAGACATTGATGTGTGTCTAGACTACAGGTTTTTTTTTTTTTTAAGTGGCCTTTTTTTTGAAAAAACTTCCTGAGTCTAGACTGCTGCCACTTTCTTTTGAAAGTAAATGTAAAGAATGCGGCAGTTTTTCGACCGCAGAAAACCTCATTTTACGAGGAATAACACCTTTTTTTGAAAGTGCCCTTTCAAAAAAAAAAGGCGCTATTCCGAAAGAGCATCCAGATTTCCTGGGTGCTCTTGAAAAAGCGTCTTGCTTTTTCGAAAGTACCGGTTATAGTCTAGACACAGTTTTTCCAAAGAGGCTTTTTCGAAAGTATCTTTTGAAAAAGCCTCTTTCGAAAGAGGCTTGCAGTCTAGATGTAGCCTCAGAGGTGTAGTTTAAAATTATCCTAAATAGGTAGCACATGAAAATATATACAGGCAGTCCCCGGGTTACGTACAAGATAGGGACTGTAGGTTTGTTCTTAAGTTGAATTTGTATGTAAGTCGGAACTGGTACATATTGTAGGGGAAACTCTAGCCAAACATTTCTCCAGAGCTCAGTTTTATTCTCCCACACCTCACTTCCCTCAGCCCTTTATTCTCAAGCTGAAGTGTCTGCTGAGAAAAGCCGCTCCGTGTCTCCCCTGCTGAGAAAAGCCCCTCCGCGTCTCCCTGGGCTGCTGGGGGGGGGGGAACACTAGCTTCGCGTCTCCCTGGTCGTCTGGGGGGAAGCAGCTAGTGCGGGGTTGCCTCACCCCGTTTGTAAGTAGGGATCCGATGTAAGTCGGATCCATGTAACCCGGGGACTGCCTGTAATTAGACTGGTTCTGCTAAAACATAGGCAGTGTCAAGGTAAGTAGCTGCAACAAAGAGCAACATGGACATAGCCTATATTATCCCCCAATGATATTCATAACTAAATATAATATAAATAAAGAGTGAGGCTGAAGCATCTGTTCCCATGGCCTCCGAATGGTGATGTGCTCTCTATGGCAGTCTTCTAATGAGATTAATTTAGGCTGCTTTGTTTACATCAGGGGCCAAGACAGTCCCGGGTTTGGGAAGGCAGAAAAGTGGATTCCCTACTGCAACCTTTAGCTTAGCTGCAGTTGGGGATCTAGCTCCAAGCAAGAAAGATGTTCGTTTTAATACATCATTCAGTCTTAACTTAAATTTGAAGCCTGATATGCTTGGCAATCATATAATTTATAGGAGAGGTGTTAATTCTTTAGTCTTTGACCAAATGAGTCCTACAGAGCTGAAGTGTTGCATCTTGCGGGTTTGGAGATTTTATTAATAAAAATGTCTCTTGATAAATGTTTAATCTTACTCTTACTACCAATAGCAAGGTGAAAACTTATGCACTTGCAGCAGTGCTGATAATGTGCCTGGTATGCTTTTTACTGTATATTCTCTTCACTAAGTTTCATATCATCAGATAATGTTAATTGGTTTCTGCCAGCTGAAGAGAGAGGCCATTAGGTGTGTGTATGGAGAAACAGAGAGAGAGAGAGACCACAGAAGATTTATGTATCGGGAAGGAGTTAAATGGCCCAGGGAGATGTGCATTCCCCTTGCATGTGAGTGACTGCTGCCAAATAAACCAGTCAGTAGCCCCATGGATAAGCCCAATAGTAAATGCTTAATTATTGTTTTGGAATGTTAAATGATTACCTGGCATGAGACTCGCATGAACAGATTTTTAAAAAAATGCTCAAATGTAATTGTAGCTGAGTATGAGAGCGATACGAAAAGATGTCTGAATAGTTCATTTATAGCTCCATTAAAGCATGTGTGCTATTACATTTCTCATATCACCCACAGCAACAACAGATTAGTGTTGGTCAATTTATGACCTTGTAATATAACCTGTGAAGCCTCTTTGGAAACACTTGAGGATTTTCTTCAACTTGTTTTCATCTCCTAACAAGGACATTAGTTATTAATCCAAACTTGTACAACCATTGCATAACATTCCATGCAACTGAACTTGCCTCTTCAACCTTTGCTGTCTCCGGAACTTCGAGTTTCTTAGAATACCAGATGTTGAATACCAGTTTAAACCTTCCATAAATTTCTAAAGCAATAATATGAAGTATTGCATTTCCACGCCACTTCTGGCTGTTCCATGCATGCCCTCCAGGGTAGCACACTATCATTGTCATTCAATAGTTTGAATTATTATTCTGTATTGTTAATGTTCTCATTTAACATGTGGATTGTGACAAGCCTGTCATTTTCCAATAACGTAGTACTGTCACACAACAAGGTGATTTTTCTTGAGAGTGCATTGTTTTCACAGCTTCCGAGGAGTCCTCTTTCACATGCTCTGACTTCCCTTTTTGAAGAAATCCATCTGCAGTGACCTTGCAGACGTAACTTTTACATTCAACTTGAAAGGGCTTAAACCTGGGGAGGAAGTGTAACTAGGAGTAATGGGAAGTGATTAAGAAAAGAGAAACAGGTTGAATATTAGGTTATGTCTCCGTTGGGTAGTTTGGTGACAAAAGTGCTGTTCACATGCAAAAGTCACCAACAACCAGTTTTTCTGCCTCCTATTGTTGACATTTCATGGCCACATGGCTACTTCCCTGTTGACATAGCAAAGCAATGTGGGTAGGCATCTCACAGTGCAGTGTTGTGGGAAGGCAGAGCTGATGTCTGCTTCTTGGGATTGTGAACTCTCTCTCCCTGCTAAGGAACGTCAAAGCAGCACAGCAGTCTCTTCAGCCCTCCCCCTGCAGAAACAGAACAGAATCACTCCAATTCTTTGTTCTTTGTTTGTTCTCCAAATGGAGCAGCTTGCTCAGCTGTCAGATCATTCCCAGAGCTTTGAAAGAGCAGAGGGTGCATGCCTTCAGAGCAACAGAGATCACAAAACACTTAGCAGAGCCATCAGGAAAGGCATTATGGGATACTGGCGAACGCCAGTTCTCTAGATAAAACAAACAGCAGAGTCTACATTGACTCCTTGTTGACAAGAAAGGGAAGAAAAAAGACACAAGTCTCTCATAGGAGTGGAATTTTGGGGGTGTTTTTATTGACAAGAAAGGGAAGAAAAAAGACAAGTCTCTCATAGGAGTGGAATTTTGGGGGTGTTTTTACCAACAAAAGAAACATTGCAGTGTACACGTTCTCACTATTTTGCTACCAAAAGAGAGTTTGGGGTGATGAAATGTACCAGTGCAGACAAGCCCCAGCAGAACACTTCCCAGTACACATTTCAACTGACAGGAGGTGGAGAAAATTGTCTAATAGATCTTTTCCACCTTGAAATATCGGAATGTCACCTTACAATTGCTTTTCTAAAGTTCTGGCAGAAACCTTTCTTGCTGTGCACAGAGCAAATGCTGAGCTTTCATCCCACCCACCCTCTATTTTTTTTAGAAAAGTATTTGGAAATGGTGTTGACTCCAAGCATCTATGGAGTTTGCGCTCTTCTGCCTGGTCTCCTAGAAGACCTTTTAAAATATCTGTTCAGGGAGGCATGTGGGAAACTGCCTAAACAAAAGGATTTTATAAAACTGTCTACTTCTAGAATGGACACAATCTTGAAGGTTCTTAGCATACCAAATCCCAGTGAGATTGGCATTTACATTTAAAAAACAGTGGAATGTTTTTTTCTGAGTCAAAGACTGTTTCAAACTCTGAATATACCTACTAGGTATGATCTGGGCTGGTCCCATGAGTGCTCATTCCATCCACCACTCAGACCCCAAGGCCAGGCAGGAAACATTCTAGCCTTGTTTCATTCTTACCTGCCTTTCTGAAGTCATGTGCACAACTACCCCTAACCCCAATCAATGGAGTACCACTACTGCCACCAAGGACATCACCATGAAGGTGGATTGGGTGCAGTGAGAGATCAGGCTGATCAGATGGACCAAGTAATGTTGGGATGAGTAGCCCCGAAATATGTCCCAAGGGAGTTCAAGTCCTTCCTACATCAGTGCTTGACTTCAGCCATCTTTATCTGGATCTAGCATAGTAAATATAGAAGTGAAGCTGCAGCAGCATGAGTGGCTGGTGGGGCTAGTCACCCCAAGTACTAGCCTAACAGCTCAGATGATATGCACTTGGAGCAGCTACCTTCTCCCATGGCTCCTGTCACTGAAATTGCATGTTTTTCACGTGCTAGCTTGAGCACAGCTAAGACAGATATGTCCCCTCCAGCTGAGAGTCATACCCCCATCTCTAAGTGTGAGCTGACCCTGAGGGCTTGAGCAGTGGCTGTTATCCTAATTTTTACATGCAGGGAAATTGAGGGGTAGAAATTCAGAATTAAGCCAAAGTGACTTGTCCAGACTCACATAATCAAATGGACTGTTTCTCGAGTTAGATGCTATTCACTGTCATTAAGAGTAATAGGCCCACAGTGTGACCCAGTGGTGCACCCAGATCTGACTCTAAAGCTGCAACTACTAGACAACTCTGTCACCCCATATTCATGGGTAGAAATGAAAGCTGAAGGATAAAAACATAGAATTACTGAGACAATAAAAGCACATTTTATCAAGCTACAGTAATTGGGGAATATAAAATTACTCTCTAAGAATATGTGAAATGCTATCAGGAGTAAAACATTTACTGTAGAACTCTGAGGGAAACAAGTTTACTTTAATAAATGGTGGAAAATGTCATGTAGTGGTATAGCGTAGGTCTTAATAGGAAACAACCTTATCATAAAGTGGGTGTTGGAGTATGAGATGGCCCACGCCCTTCCTGACAACTCAAAAAGCAGGCTAAATGGTACAGAGAGTGCTAAAAGGCCTTTACGGGTTTAGAAAATGAATTAACAGATTTTTAGATGATCAGTAGTAAGGTTATCATAAATGACCTAAATGTTAACTGCTAGTCAGCTGAAATAACATCTGAGACCTAAACTGGACTGACCTTAAACCAGAAAGTCTGAATCAGAGATACTAATTATAAATGATTTCTTAACAGATTTAATCCAACTATAGAAGCAGCACTGTGGCTCTATTGTCAGAGCATTTATATAATCACTGGAGCATGGTGCCAATTCATTTTCAATTTGGGAAGCTTTCTGGAGCCTAGCTAACAGCTATCAAAAGACATGCTGCATTTTTCTTAAGGTTGAAAAGGCAAAAATCCTTGCGAATAGGAAATTATGAGTAAGTTCTTAGAACTAAGAGTCCAGTGATGAAGAACTTATCTTTGCTACTGATCTTGGGTTTTGCTTACCTCTGGAAATCTTACCTAGGGTTCTGGAAGTTACTTTAAAGTGTTTCGCCATTTTCATTGCCAGTTGTTGTGTTATTACTTTCCGAAGTTGAAATGATTAATGCAGTAAATGTGTTTGTAAAAGTTAAGAGCTAAACTCTCTTGCTCAGATCTGCGGAAAATAGTCAATGAAATTCTTGAGGAAACCAGAACTCTGGCAGAGCAATAAAGAAGGTAAAACAATGACTCTCAAACAGTGATTCTCAAACTAGGGAGGTGCATCCCTGGACTTGGAATTTACATTTGTGAACCATCCCTTAATTTTGTTCCTCTGATGGTGCTTAAATTTGCTACTTAAATGACTAGAAAATGCTGCAAATAGTGAAATACCTGATGTTCCCTATGAATCTCTTTGGCAGTACAATATCTGGTGTTTTATTAAGCCTGTTCTCCCTGCAGACAGATCTAATTGCTTTAAAAATGAGTAAGCACTGAAGATTCAAGTTGAAAAATCAACTGGAGGAAATTAGGCTTACAGTGTTATTAATGGAAAACAGGGAAAATCCTGCAGTGACTTAAATTGCTTATTTTTAAATGATTGAAAGAGATTAATAAAACCTAAGAAGAAGAATGATCCTCCAGTTGTTACAAACTTAAGTCCATTGTAAACCAAAATTTGGATTCTAGGATCATTGTAAAGAAGATTATTTTTAATGATATCAGTGCAGACAAGTACAGTACCACACACATGAAATGAACCATCTCGAGATAGGGATGCAAATGTAGTGTACCAAAATTGCTAATGAAGGGCGGGATTTAAATATCCCGTGCTTACTTAGCATAATCTCGTCTGGCTGCCATTTTGAAATCGCATTATTGCGAAATAAAACAACCTGTGTAGCAGCATTATTTCAAGAGAAAACCCTTCTCTTGAAATAACTGTTACTCCTCATCCAATGAGGTTTAACTGTTCCTTTCTAAAAAGGCCAGTTAAAATACACACACCCCAGCTATCCATTCACCACCTCACACAGAGAACTAGGCAGTAGCTAGATGTCCATTATCCCCCCTGAATGTGGAACACTCACTTGTCAGGGAGGCCTGACTGATACAGACCTATTTAGTCCTCCAATCCTGCTTCCCTGTGGCCTCCCAAAGTGAGATCTCAAATATTCATCAGTCATCATCACAATAAAAAATACCAGAGGAAGAAATAATCCCAGCAGGAACAATTATTTCATTACAATGGTGAAAGTTTCTGGAGAATATTAGCTTTAGGCTGTATTTGTGCTGAACACTCTGGCAGGCTTGAGTCTCTCAGGGTACGTCTACACAGCAGGGCTAAAGTCAAATTAATTATGCAGCTTCAGCTACATCAATTGTGCAGCTTAAGTCAAAATAGCTTAATTTGTCTTTTGGCCCTGTCTACACCAGGAAGTTGAAGGGAGAACACACTTCCCTCGATTTCCCTTACTCCTTGTGAAATGAGGGCTATAGAAGTCGGAGGAAGAAGTCTTCCAGCTCCACATTATTTTGGAATAAAGGCTTATAGTGTAGACGCACATTTTGTTATTTCAGGATTAATGTCAGTTATTCCAAAATAACACTGCATTGTAGACATACCATCATTGGTTAATTATCTATAATTTTGGTAAGAATGGGTGCTGCTACTAATGGCTCTAATCTGCTCTGGCTCCTATAGTTCATTGTAAATGGCTCATGACTACTGGAAATACAAGCTCCCTTAAGCAAAATGGTTGGAGTAATTCAATTTAATGAGAGAAACTGCATAACATGAATACACAGTTCCAAACTCCAGAGTATTGTGGAATATCTGTAATTACTGGGTCCTTGGCAGCTGATGACCAAGTGACAGTGTTTGTGTTCATTAGCTTCAGAGCTCCCTGCTGCTTTCTTCACACCAGCTGTGAATGAAAAACACATTAGCCTCCACCCTGGAAAAAAAAAGTTAAAACCCAGTAAACAAGTCAGTCAAGATAAATAAATGCTAATGGCTACATTGACCCTGGTTAATTCCATACTGGACAAATAGATACAAAAAAAGAGGCCAACAGCAGGACACTGAAATAAGATAAAATAAGTGACAAAGTTTTCAGTCAGGAATGGAAATTTCTGGAGGCTGTCTGTTTTATTCTTGGCAGAGTTTATATTGTCTGCTTTTGCCTTACTATTTTCGTTTCTATTTTCCTTTGTTATTGCTGAAAAAAAATCTTGAACAGAAGACGTATGCAGTAGCACCATCTACTGGTCAAATCTAGTACTGTGTCAACAGAGGAAAATTCAAGTTGTTCTTTAAACTTGTATAACCATCTAGACAATTTCATGCAGTAAAGTCGTTGAGCCTGATTCTTGAATCCACTTATGGCCCTGTTACAGGGTGTGGCTCCTCTCCTGCCAAAACTGCATAGACTTTCACAGTGGTGCTTTCACCATGTCCTTGCAATCCCTTGTTCAGGAGCCTATTTACAATGGCAGCCAAACATTTGGCCCTTGCACCTGGCATGAGGGGAACAGTGGCCCCCCTATTCTGTGCCTCTGTGTACCAGACTCAGCTAGCCCTGCCCATACCCTTCTGCCCCCCTCACTTTCATCCTGTCTCTTTATAAGAGAGAGAGCCTGCTGGCTAGCCTGCTTGAGTAATTGACCCTGTCAGCTTTCTCAAGGAGCTACAGCTAAGTAATCAGCATGCAGGCTATCCTGTTGCACCATGCACTCTGTCACAGGCACCTTGGTATATGTCTGGTGCTGCAGAGGGGCCCATACTAGCTATCTAAGCTGACAGCTGAGGAGCCTCATGTGTGTACAGCCATTTGCTTCCTCAGCATCACTTCCACAGTGCTGTCTGCTGGGAGTGCATAGCTATCCCTCCTTGCTGGAATGGCTTCTTAGAGCCATTGGTATGTGGATTCACCAGGATCCAGGCTCACCTACCTGGCTGTGCTCCCTCATGGACATGGGGACTTGCCCTACTCTGCCCAGTGCTCCAGTCAGGCCTTGGGAGTGGAGTCGCGGGCTAGGCCTGCTCTGCTTGCCCAGCATTTGTGCCAGGGAGCAGAGTTGGGGGCTTGTTAGCCCCTGAGCCCGCTTCCCAGCAGGAGCACAAGGTGGGTAGGGTCAGCAGGGTCAACTCCTGATCCTGCTTTGCAGCAGGAGCACCGTGGCAGACGGGCAGAGCACGGCAAGTCCTACCCAGCCCCACTCTGGTAGCACCAGGCCAGGGGAAACAGGGCAAGTCCTGGCACCCCAACCTTGCACCCCACTTGGAGTAGCGGGCTAAGTGATCAGAGCCTTAATAAAAAGTATGTTTGGGGTTTTTTTAAAGGGGAGAGGGGTTTCATGGACAGCACATTGTCTATTTGTTTCCACCAAGAACTGTTTAATAAAGAAAAATTTATCTATTTTAAAAGAATGAGACAATAATTTGTATATTTATTTAATTAATATAAATGTTCTAAGAAAAACTGAAATCTTCAAGAGAGATCCAGCTCCCACACAGCTTCAGGGGACAAAACAGCTGCTTCAGCTCTTATCACAGCATTCTTCAGAAATTTTAAAGGAAAAGTACTGTGATTATAAAAGTCCCAGGATTCAGACAGGATTCCAGATTATGATGAGAGTCTGTCTACTATTAATAAAGTTGTTAGATCCCTGTTACAAGCCAGAGTAACAGATCTCAACCTAGAACTCCAGAATATTAATCATAATACAGAATAGGTGCTCTAAATAAAAATGAAAAACAGAATATAAACATTGAGTAAGCATCATAAACAATAGTGGGTTGAATATTCATGTTAAAAACTGCTGAAGTAGAATCCTTTAACAAAATAGCAGCCTAGAATCTACAAAAAATATATTCATAACAGACTTTCAAACACTAAGTGGCATTGGCATGATTTCAAGTTTGTAAATAGCTCCACATTTCATTACGTTTACATTATAACTTCAAAGACATCTATGCATAAAGCTGTAATCCATCAGTTTCAATCATGAATGGTTTAAAAATAAATACATAAATATACTGAGATGATTCAAAATGAGCACAGGGAATTCATCCTAATCATACTAGATAAAAAGAATCAGGTAAACAGAACCAAGCTATTAAATTGTCAAAAGATAAACAGACCTAAAAAAAACCACTCATCACCTGATATGACTGAACATCTCAGAATATTAGCTTAGTCCTATAAACACACTGAGGTCACAAAATCAGAAGCTTAAAAGAAAGTGGCAAAACTGTTGAAAAAAATTAACTACCACTTCTGATTCTAAAATTTGGAGAGCTGAATTTTCAATTTTAAAATGTGGGTATTTTAGAATGTGATCCAACTCTCATTAAAATAAATGGAAGTACTTTTGACTTAATGTGATCAAGTCCTTAAGTAGGGTATCTATATCCTGCAGCTGTATGCCTAGCCCAGGTAGGGATGTATTGCTTGTTTGATATACCAAAGACCAAATAAGAGCATACAGTTGTGGAATTCGGACATCCTATTAAAGTTCCCATGTTTGTCAACTACGTAACCATAGAGGTGTATTGGAAACATTTTAAACAAGAAGCTCTATTTTGAAAATTGTGTGCCCTTCATTTCTATACTAAGGACTCTGTATTTCCTCCTGCAGAAGTTGCTGACATCACCAGCACTGAATACAAAGCATGTTCCTTCATTCCGCATATTAGAAATGCAGTCAGCTTTTATTTGTGAAACACAACCATAGTGAGGTCCTAGCAATTGCAAAAAGAAGAGGATAGTTCAATGGTTTGAGAACTGGCCTACTAAGCCCAGAGTTAACAAAAAATGTAGATGGTATCATGAGCTTTCATGGGCACAGTCCACTGGGCTGTGACCACAAAAGCTCATAATACCATCTACCTGTTTTGTTAGTCTATGAAGTGCTACCAGACCATTTGTTGTGTTTTTTTTTTTTTCTAGGTCTACACTGCCGCTTTTTTTTTTTTTTTTTTTTTGAAAAAGCTACGCAAAATGAGCTCTGCATTTTGTGTAGCTTTTTTCTGATTCTTTTGGTCCAGCCGTGACGGCAGAGGACTGGACTCAATGACCTCTCAAGGTCCCTTCCAGTTCTATGAGATAGGTATATCTCCATATATAAGAAACATTTTGAAAATGTTATTTAATGAATTATAGCATTTGAGTCTACATGTGTATTTTTTTAAGAACACCCAAATGGTATGGAGCTACCCAGAAGAATATGCATCTGAATTATTAATGCTTTTAGTAAGTACTGTATAGTAGGAACATGATTCAGAAGTAGAGATGAGAATGATCTAGAAAGTTTGCCCTCAGATCCTGATCTAGACTTCCCCAAACACAGGGTATGCAGTTCTGGGGTTTTGCTTCAAATCCATCTCTATTCAGACACAAACATTCTATGAACAGAGTCAATGCAGAGAGCTGCATGAAGAGAGGGAGGGTAATTAAAATAACTTTTTCCACTCAAAAGAGCACACTCGCAACTCAAAGAGCTTGTAGGACAGTTATGAATAAATCTAAAATTGGTTATTGATGGATGAAATCCTGGCACCACCAATGTCAATAGGAGTTTTGCAATTGACTTCAGTGGAGTCAGAATTTATACCTTTGTGTTTGGTTAACCAACATCCAAATTAATGTAGAAAGAGAAAAGGGGGGAGGGCACTTTATCATTATCCTAATTTTATTGTTTAGTTAGCCTGAAAAAGAACCAGTGTTTTCAAAATATTTGTTTTCATTATTTAGTATTCTGCACCAAAGATAATTGTTTCTTTCTTTCTCAAGTAGGAAATGTTAAGAAAGGGGTAGAATGTTTTCCAAGAATGATTTTTTTAATTTCACCCTTCACGTGAACTCTTTGGTAACCTTTTTGTATAAGAAAAAAACAAAGCTATCCTTTCTGATGACCTGCTGAAAAATCCTTAGGAATTTTCTCTTTGCAAAAAGCAGAAGAACATTCATTACCTGACAACAAGTGGTAACCTGTATTCTTGAAAAATTTATCCTTAAGGGAGAAATTATACTGAAATAGGAGATTATTAAGTCTCAAAATACATCAATGGATAAGTGTGTTTAATGGCTGATCAAAAATAATTTTCCTACTGTTTTCCCGCTGCAGGAAGATACTCTCAACAATGACCTATCTGCTAACAACAACAATGTAAACTCCTAAAAGATTCAGATGCAGGTCAAAATAAATTGTTACTGGCTGGGACTCATCTATAGCACTGTTGGGTATTCTGAAAACACAGAATATTCTTTAAGAACTGGCTAATATGTTCGTGTTTAAAACATTAAAGGCAGAAGTAACCTAACTCTAAAATAATTGACATTCACTGTCTTTCCTATACTTTTCATTCTAAGGAAGAAATTGTCAGCAAATTCTTTGATCATTTTTAAAAGAGTGGAATTACTACTGCAAAAGATTAACTAATTTTTCCCATGCCAAATCCCCCCACTTGCTTTTCAGGGTTAAAATAGGCTCCATATCCTTATACCGATACGTAAGGGCCAAAAAGTGCAGAACATTTTCCATAGCCTGCATGGGCCTCTTAGGTTATTGCTGGTTAAAGCAAGACTTCAGACATCCTCCTTAGTTAGTAAATCTGAGATATTGTTTATACTGCACTATGACCAACTCCAAGCCTTCAAAAATCAAGCCTCAAAGAATCATAAGATTAGCTAAAAATAATTTTCTTTAAAAAATGATAAATTTGGTCCTCATGTTACTTGCTTTCTGAGTTGTCACATTATCAAGCTTTTCTCCAGAACTAACAGAGCTAAAATTTCACTTTTTTTAAGAAAACTGAGAGTCTCGTCTAAACACATGACTCAAGCAACTGGGGCTCTTGGAGAAACATCAAATGCCACAAAACACAATAAAATTGCAAGAATAGTCTGTTTCCATTACAAATCTCACCTTATTTTTATTGGTCTGGTTTTCAACAAAACATGTTTAAATGTGGAGGAGAAAATGTTTCAGCTCATCCGGAAGCAGAAGTCCAGTTATTTTGTCACGTTGTTTGTGTCCGAAGCACTTCCTAATGTATAGGCGGCACAGTTGCATCAAGGACAGGGGCCCTGGAGAAAGACACCACAAGACAAGTTTATAAAATATGATTTTATTGACCCAAGATCAGCTGGCACAGAACTTAAACTGTAACTATGGAACAAGGCCAACTTTTGTGTAGTTCAGTCTACACCAGCTTTACTTAAGGGCATCATTCCCAAGTTCTCAGCTCCTGCTGGCTCCTAAAAGCTCAACACACTGGAAATTCTTTACTGAATCATTTTAGTTATAAGGTGTTTGGAGTAGTTAGCTCTTTAAGGTAGATCAGAAGTGGAGCTAGCCCTATGGGTGCCCTAAGCAAGAATAATATGTGGGGTCCCCATAGCACATACTCTGTGTTTTAAACACTGACAAATGAGAAAGTGCCTCTCACTTACCCCGGTAGAAGCAATATACCCCCATGTTGCACAGGTGTAAATGACCATATAAGATGCAAGCCCACAAGGTAAATGTACTGTCTTGGAACCACAGTCATTCTTAATCCTTTTACAGGTATGATTAATAGCTGTATTATTTTCCTACAAGTTATAAGATAAATGTTAAATACTTTATGTTGCTTGAAAATATGAGATGATTAATGTTTCCTTCAAAATCCTTTCCCTTGAGTGAGATTCAGGTTTGCAGCCCACTGATTTTTGCACACGTATTCCTAACAGTATAACAGTGATAAACACATAGCAAGAGATGCAATATATAATCCCTTGTTTAAAGCTTCAAGATTATTTAGTCTCATGCTGATAATGCAAGCCCTAGTGAAAGAATCCATGTCTTTTATTTAAATGTAATAACACAACATGCTGAATGGAGGATGTATCCTTCTTGTTAAGCGGTAGTTACTATCATGTATTTAGAAACAAAACAGTGGGGTCATATAACCTGTCATTTATATGGCTATTGCACCATACACAGCAGTTATAACAACAGAACAGTTATTGACAGAGTAGATAAGGAGCACAAACAAATGGGAGGCACTATTGGGGGGTGGGAGGCAGGATTGGGTTGGGTTGAAGCAGTGTAAGAGGAGATGAGCTTTATGAGACAGTTAAGAAAGTAAGAGGGAATCAGAGAGGCAGAGACAATGATATTAGGTAAAAGCAAGTCCTGGGTCAGATTTTCTAAAAAGGCAGTTGTGGTCACTAGAGAAGCTGAGCTGGTAGTCGCTATGGGTAAGAGAGTGGAAGCAACTGATGGAAGCAGCTGGTATTGCTTTTGGCTAACAGCTTTGAAAAGCAGCTGTTTACAGTGTCTCTCTACAGTCCAACTACCACTTTTTCAGCCGCTCTTCACAGCTGGCTGGGTTCCCTTAAAGACTGCTTTGCTGTTCAAGTGGCTGTATCAAGAGCACTGTCAACCCACAGCACTAATGAGACATGAAGGTGGTAAATACACCAGCCTTAATTCTCCACTGCTTTGCATCTTATCCCATTTATACCTGCCAAACTGTTCCAAGTCAGCACACTAGTATATTACACCCATATTACACAAGTTTAGAAGACTGTATAGTGCAAGGAAGTGATGAATCTAGACCAGAATATT